AGAAGCCGAACTTCGCGAAAATTGCCACGGCTAGCGATCCGGATCGCGGAGAAGGGCGTGGATCGTCGGCGAGGAAAGGAAGTCTGAGAAAACCATCTTCACGGCAAGACGGGGCGGATTAACACAGCACTCGTTTAAAATAATATAGAATATATTGTACGCGAAAGATGTTACAGAATTCGGTGTACACTGCCGAGCTGTTGTAGCGTCAAAGGTCACCGGGACGACTGGTAACCGACACGAGAACTGCGTTTCGAAAACACGTGCGGATTTCGTTCACGATAGCCCAAATTCCGTCGCGATTCGCACAAAAGCGACTTTGGAAATGATATTCGGACAGTCTTGACGCGGTCGCGGTGGGCTTGACCTTTTCGACGAGAACATTAACTGGCAGCGATTCAAACACGTGCGCGTTACAATGGATTCGCGACGAGATGTTCGTTATTCCGTTCGATATCCTTCTCGATTGAAACTAATTACGCTATTTCGCCCGACGGGGTGCTCGGCAGCCACCAGGAAACCCGAACAATTCACGATATCCTATCCACGAGCGTGAGGTAAAGGAGGAAGCGCTTATCGTACCGTTCACCACGTGTGTCGCTGACGAAATAGGACGAGCTACGCAAGCTCGTCGCACACGTTGGCTCACGCGCTTCCCCCCAGCCTTACCTCAATGGTCGGCGGCACGCGGCACTCTATGGCGGCCAAATTCAAATTGCGTTATCGGCGTGCACAAAGACTCTGGAGCGGGCCGGATCTCGGTGCACTCGAGAACCCGACTGACTTCGCTATCCTAAACGGCCTCTTGTCCCCACAAGATCGTAGCGGAGTTCAGGGGCTGTTAGCAAAAACCTCCAGTCCCTGTCCATTTGAGCTTCGTCTGGCCAGTCCGTGCAGCCGGCGCCGGGTTGGACAGAATCGGTAGCCTCTAAGCCGCATCGCTGGATGTTGCCGTTGTTAGCCCAACGCTATTGCGATTCAAATACGCAAATGAGTCATAACCCTGGGTTACCCTGGTGGCGCTCGCGATCTTGGTCGATCTCGTTCCCCGCGGAGAGTTCATCTATTTTGTTACGTGGCAATCTGCCACGTAACAATGTGTATTTTTTCTTGCTTTAAGGGAGTGGACTCCCGTGCCTTGTATGTGCTGGTACGTACCCACACCGCTCGACACCACTGTATACGTACACGGAACTGCAAGGGTTCCGCATTGTCCTATTTTTGTCTCGACAATGCAGATTCGAGACCTCTCAATAGTCGTTTCCGCTAGATAAATGTTCAAACTAGAGCGCAAGCTCCTATAGGTAGTCTACGTTTGCTTTTTTGTGTCATAATTAATAATATTCAGCAGTACTTCGCGATCAAAAGAAGTTGTATGGTGGTGCGACAGTGCTGCCACGTTGTCTAAGCTAACATACGCTGCTGAATATTGTTAATTATGACAGAAAAAAGCAAAAGTAGAGTTCCTATGGGAGCTTGCGCTCTAGCTTGAACATTTATCTAGCGGAAACGACTATTGAGAGGTCTCAAATTTGCATTGTCGAGACAAAAATAGGACAATGCGCAAGTCCTTGCATCCTGTCCACGATTATCATGTTACACGTAAAATATAGTTCTGGCATTTGTCGCTTCAAGCGCTCATAACTGTTTCCGCACATCGAGACACTCAGTCAGAAACACATAGGAAAGGAGACACATGCCATCGGTAAGGTAGGCTTTATGAGCAAGCGAGACGTCAACGACAATGTATCGTAGGTGCGAGCAGCCGTCCGAGACACACTCACACATGCAACGCTCGGTGGCATGTCCGTGTGCCTACGAATAGGCTGCGTGATGCCGCGATACCTGAAAGTAAGAGTCCAGCCGAATAAGCGAGACTTTCAATATTACATTTGTGACATTTTTCTAATTACAATGATACCACATATAATACAATTCGGATCATATTTACAATAATTTATGGACGACGCGGAGAAATATCCGTTTCGAAAACGCTCAACAGATCACAAGGGAAGTTCGCGATCAGGACGAGCGCTTTTTGAAAGAGACTGGGCTCACAAGGAGACATCGCCTAGTGTCCCCCGAATTTTTTATACAAATTATTGTATTATGTAAAGAAGGGTATGCAGAACAATCTCTGCAAGTGAGATGGCGCTACTATGTTTCGTTTTCGAGAAATAAATTTTTTAAAATATCTAAATTTCGATTGACGAGTGTCGACCGTACAAGAGTCAGAGGTATCGTAGAAGCAGTGTGGCGCAGTCGGTGAGTGCCAGGTTGCGAAGTCGATCTTTTGCGCTAGACGCGGTTCGATCCTTTAGGAGTCAGTTATTCTTTTTTTTTTTTTTTTACTTTTTGTTCCTTTTGTATCATGTTTTGTTATGTCTTGTTTTTGCAATGTTTGTTTAATATAATTAAATTGTTATTTACAAACTATAATGACGTAAGTTTTTATAAAAGCTTATAGAAAACTCCTTTCACATCCTGACTTCTTTTTCAATGCGATAGAAAACATAAAAATTGCACAATATTGTATAATAATAATCTTAAGACACTGACGGACAAAATTAAAGGGACACTTTTTTAAAACGTCATATCTATGGGAGTTTTCAACCCATATTGGGGAAACTTCGCGAGGAGTAGTTTTGAAGTGTCCTCTAAATGTGCGCAAAGTTGCATTGGCGAGGGTTGATACGAAGAGGTTAAGTCACCCCCGTAAAGAGGGGCACGTCGAAAGACGCCACTTCTTAAGAGGCCAGGGGTGACGAAAGGGGTTGAAAAAAACTTTGGGGCGACCCTCCTCGATGCCCTCAACAAAATTCACCCCTCAAAATCCCTCTCGGGCAAACCCACCCCTCACAATACTTAATACTCTTTTAAATCTACTCCGATTTGACAATGAAAGCGTGATTCAAAATATCCGAATTTTTGTGGACCTGTTAATAAAGCATTCCCGCGTCCGATTCTATGAACGGCGTTGACCTCGTTCACCTGGTACACAGGCCTAAACTCGCGGGTGGGTTTTCTAAAAAAAACGTCATTTTGGTACTTTAATGCTATCCACGCGGGGAAAAGACATCAAAACTGTGTCACTCCAATGCCTTGGACCGTATCACATTTGTTCCACGCAACGAAACATCGTTCCAGCCCCTACACCTGTGGGTGGACCACCCTTAACTTTGGGCCACCCTGTTCAGCTCCAGGGCAGTTTTCGAAACGAGCTTTAAATGACATTGATCCTTAACGTACCCAGAATAAACATGGTGAATTTCATCGCCCTTCGAGGTGTGGAAGTGCTCCCTTACGAAGGGTGTTGAAAAGTGGCGAACTGTTCCATCCCTCTAAGGGGTGCCTCTACGGCCCACGGCGTGAGCGTTGGCATTTCCTGGATCAGGGGAGTCCAGGGAAATTGTGGATTTTGGAGGGGGTGGGGTGTTGTGAGGGGTGGGTTTGCCCGAGAGGGATTTTGAGGGGTGAATTTTGTTGAGGGCATCGAGGAGGGTTGCCCCAAAGTTTTTTTGATTTTTTCAAGCCCTTCCGTCACCCCTGGCCTCTTAAGAAGTGGCGTCTTTCGACGTGCCCCTCTTTACGGGGGTGACTTAACCCCTTCGTATCAACCCTCGCCAATGCAATTTTGCGCACATTTAGAGGACACTTCAAAACTACTCCTCGCGAAGTTTCCCCAATATCGGTTGAAAACTTCCATAGATATGACGTTTTATAAAAATGTGTCTCTTTAATTTTGTCCGTCAGTGTATATAAAAAGGTTGTTTCCATAACAAAACATGATACAAAAGGAAGAAAAAGTAAAAAAAAAAAAAAATAAGTGGCTCCTACCGGGATAGAAACGCGTCCAGCGCAAAGCTAGAGTTTCGAAGCGACGACGAAAATAGAAAGAAACAGTTCGATGAAGAAGGAAGAGAGACTGAGAGTCGACGCTGGAAAATGTAAGGATACGGGATCAGGATGCTAAGCGCGATTTCGACCTCAGTGAAATGGCAACAGTGTAAAGAGACGCTGTTGTGAGAACGGCAACACCGCAATTGTATCGACATCACGTTAGCAGTCGTCCTCAGTAAGCGCCATCTCCTATCGATTGTCTGAACTAAATTTGTGACGTCACTTGCTCTGTATTATCGTTAAAATAGCGGAAACTCGTTTTTGGAAATGCAATGCTTTGCCCACAGATTTTGTTCTTATATGAGCATATTTTGGTCTCAATGAGGGCTCATTCGAAAGAGGAAGGTCCAAGGAATGGCGCTATGGTCGTCGTTCAAGTCACAAAATCTTTTTAGTAACCTAAAAATATAACTATTCTGCGGATGTATTTTGCTCGATTTTTGCTCGACTTTGGACGCTCATATTATTAAATATCGACACAATATCGTTCAACCACGACCAGAGCGCCATTCCTTGGACCTTCCTCTCTCGAGTGAGCCCTCATTGAGCCCAAAATATGCTCATATAAGGAAAAAATCTGTGGGCAAAGCTGACCCACATTTCGGGCCAGATTTTGTCGGATTACAGAGCGCTGCATTACCCGTGTCTATCTCCTTAATACACGCGGCTTGCACACTCCAGCAGTGAGAATCAGCGTAGAGGTCGCGGTCCCCTGGCGGCTATGCTATGCGGCTACCGAAGCAAATAATATTGTACGGGTGACAAACGAGTGAGTATCATCGATTCGTGCTGGTCCATACGGAATGAATTGTGAATCCGGCCGTACAACCTCCTCGTGGTACGCTTCGGGCAATGCTAATGCCGGCGGTATCTTATCGTTTTTGTCATTGTAAAGAGATTGAACAATGTTTTTTCTTCAATTTTTTAAATCCTGTTTCTGTACGTTAAAATGACGTTGAATTAAGACAAGAAAACACGCAATAACCATTAAGACGCTGGAAGAACAAAAAATCGTTTTGAATGAGACGGAAACGTAACGTAAAACAAGTGATCTCTCAAGTTTTCAAATCATGTCGCATTGGCGTCATGTTTTCTGAAAAGTGGTATATGTGCAAATTTTTAGGTCATTTTGAAAAGGATTATATGCAATTAAAAAAAAATGTCATCAAATTGGGAACCAAAGCCTTTTAAAGGAAAGTTTCTCAGCTGTCCAAAACATTCATTGAAATTTTTCTGCGATCATGTATTTACGAGTTATAGGCGTTCAAAGTGAAAAGTACCCGTTTTCACATAATCATAAAGAACTCGGTCAATAAAAATTGTATAGCAAAACCAAAAAAAACGAAAATAAAAACAAAAGTTTACTCTATAATACCATTTAATTGAATTTGCCAAGAAAAATTTTTTTCGTACTGTGCATACCTTCAAAGTTGACGAAAATGTTTGAACATTCCTTCGTTGCACTTCATTTAAAAAAAAAAGTGACATGGCCAGACAAAAAAAATGTTGATCTCCTGATTCGAAAACTACAGATTTCGGCCTACAAAACGGCATTTTCAAATATTTTTTATGACTTTTTTCCGTGAAGATATAGTCACTTGAATGTGACCAAAATTTTCGAAAGATTTTAGTGATCCCTCAATTTTTTCCAGCAGTGTATATGATACAGTTATGTATCATATATGTTCTCAAATCATTTCTATGCTCGGAGCATATGAAATTAAATTTTATATGCTCCGATATTTTGTAATTTAATAGCCGTAACAAGGCCGGAAATGTGTGCTATGTTGGAAAATGTGCATCCACTATGCATCGACGAATATTCCCCGAAATTGTCGGTTTTGAAAAATAAGGCCAAACAACTTCTGCAAACATATTTTTTTTCGAATAATTCGCGTAATATATCGAATGGCAGCCTGAATAGCTAATTTAGGTGCACTTGGAACATTAAAATTTAGAAAAATTACATTTTCATCCGTCGATGCACGTGGGGCAACCGATATAAATTTTTTTAAGTTACATAGAAACCTTGCGGATTCATCAGATTCGCAATTGGTATCCCCACTTACCAATTGCGAATATCAATTGATAAGCAGTGTTCGATAATATGCTTGAAAGGCTCTACAAGTGGGATTAGTATAGCGGGCACATGTTGACTTATTTGGTCGAAAAAATTTTCAAGCGCGTCTTGGTTAAAATTACGGGTAACAAATTCAACAAAACCAAGATCACGCAGATGAGATTTAAAAAATTAAAAATTCTAAAGTGTCCTAATCCACCTTTGCAGTACCATTGGGTGCTCCTTATCCACAGGCTATCTTTTCAAAAAGCTCGTGCTACGAAACCCCGAAATAGCTACATTCCAAACATTTACTAAGGTCATGTCTGTTCTACTTGTCGACTGCGCAACACTACTATTGACACTGTCGAAAGTACTATTCATAAAATGAATAAGTCGAGCAGTGTCAATTCCATCGCCCGACATTTCACGCGTACCGCACACACTCTTAGCCTTGCTACGGCTCATCAGTGTCATTAGGGCTCCAACTGCTCGACTAAAAACTTGGTCGCAATATTTGACCTTAATTTTAGGGATTTTACTTGGAACAACATGTGTAGCAGTAAGTTTATGCAGGAGTCGGTCCTCATAAACATTACTGCTATCAATAAAATATAGATATTCCACGTGTGCCCATTTAGCCACCCGTGAAATATTGTCTTGAAATTTAAACCTCAAGTCCTTTGTCAGCAAGTTGTTGCGGACACATTTTAACAAATGGGGGGAATCAAACAGCGGTACAATCATGTTATTGTCGATTACAATAACATCATGCCGCAGTGCATTCGATTCCTGAAAGGCATTTCTCTTCGAGGAATTTAGTAAGCTTTGAATAGCTTTGCAATTTGTGCTTCCTTGGTCACAAACTGTTGCTACTAATTACTATACCGGCCTGACATGCATGGCGAACTATTTCTTTAAACATACGAACAAGGTTCTCAGCTGAGCTGGAACCTTTTCAAAATGAATACGCAACAGGTTGTTTCCACGGTCGCACATCACGAATTCCTTTCAGCATCCACATTGTAGCATGATCCGCGATATCTAAATTACGCGAAAACCAGTATCTACAAATCCCTCAATTACATCCATTGAGGGATTATACTCTAATTGAGGCGATAAACTAATTTCATGAAAAAGCAGTATCTGTGTTTTTTATCGACGAATAAGTTGGACCGCTGTTTGAGTTCTTCAAAAACATTATCGCAAATTCCAGCTTTTAGTGGAATTTGCGATATTAGTTTCCTAAGAGTTTCAATGCTTGACAAAAGAAATAACATTGCCAAATATCGATAAGCTTTGGAACTCTGTTTTAAAATACTTACAGCTAATAGTTTCTTCTCGTCGGAGAAGCGTCGCGCCGATTTCGTCTTTCCCGCGTTGCGCATCTGGGCAGAGAGCATCGCGTGCAGGGGTGTTGGCAGGCTTTCTAAAACCTGACACACACCGGTCTGCACGAAATGCTCAATCTTCTCGCTGCGTTGTCTCACCGTTGACCTCCGGCGCCTGAACTGCCTGGCTGTTCTTAAAACTATTCCCAGAGCTTTGAACAGCGTTTTCTTTCAGGGTTCCTCCATTTTGGGTTTTTTGATGATTCTTCCTATGTTTTCTATGGAAAGAAAAATATATATAAGTAATGCAATTATGTATAAATGTGTAAATGTATTTTACATATTCATGTATCATATTGGCCTGTATGATATATAGTAAAATATAAAACACAAAGATACCATCGAGTGACGGTATAATTTCTCACTACTGTGCTTTACTGGATGGTTGGTGAAAGTCCCCCAAACTAGAGGTGACTGAAGAGACACAGACTTTTCTTCGAGCCACACTGCATAATCATATTCTGATACTTGAATAGTGACCCGGCTTCATCGTCCGTACGAGCGCGCGGTGCTTTCGTCACGCGATAGCGGCACTCTGGCGCAAGTGCTGAGATAGGACTATCGACTCAGCGTTGTCTTAATCTCTTAGACTTGGGATTTGTTTTAGCACACATAGGAGGTATCTCGTAGATATTCCCATCTAGTGTCACTCCTATGTGGCATTGAATTAAAAGAGAGGTAGCATGAAGATATTCCCATCTTCCTGCCATCTCCTTACTTAATTTAAATGCTAGCGCATTTGCCTGGAGGGTGAGCGAGAGGCGGATGTAACAACATATTTCTAGATCTATCTTGCGAGAATGTAAGTGCATCTCTTTATTCAATATTTTTGCCATTTGTCCAAGTATTGCATTGAAAACTGTATGTTTCCCCTATGTTCTATTATAATAGTTGCGTTGCAACATTAGAATAACTATTAAAGCATATATA